ATCGGAGGGGGAGAGGAACCATGAGAGACTATGGACTCTGAGAAACAAACTGAGGGTTCTAGAGGGGAGGGGGGTGGGGGGATGGGTTAGCCCAGTGATGGGTGTTAAGGAGGGCATGTATTGAATGGAGCACTGCGTGTTACGCGAACAATGAATCATGGAACACTACATCAAAAACTAATGATGTAATGTATGGTGACTAACATAACATAATAAAAGAAAATTTAAAAAGAAACTCATATACTGAAAATGTAACAAATATAATCTTTTAGAAAGATTTTATTTATGTATTTGAGAGAAAGAGAGCACAAGCGGAAGAGGGTGGAGAGGCTTAACTGACTGAGCCACCCAGGTACCCTGTAACTAGTATAATTTGGGGATGAAACAGTTCAACAGTATAAGAATTTAAAATATTCATTGACTCAGGGCACCTGGGTGGCTCAGTCGGTTGGGTGTCTGCCTTCGGCTCAGGTCGTGATCCCAGGGTCCTGGGATGGAGCCCCATGTCCAGCTCCCTGCTCAGCGGGGAGCCTGCTTCTCTCTCTCCCTTTGTCCGCCTCACTGGTCATGCTTTCTCTCTCATGTTCTCCCTCCCTCCCTTTCTCTCTCTCTCTCTCTCTCTCTCTCTCTCATGAATGAATGAATGAATGAATGAAATATTCATTGACTCAAACCTACCTCCAGTAATTTATTCCACAGATATACCTGCAGAAATGTGAAAAAATGAACATATAAGAACGTTTATTGCAACATTATTTGTAATACTAAAAAAAAAAATCAATCTAAATGTCCATCAGGAGCAGTAGCATTTTATAAATGAAATACTTGTAGCTACTAAAAAAAAATGAGAGAAATTTATTGATGTCTAACACGTGAAGCTTAAAAAAATTCACTTGATCAGTATGTGTAGCATGATATCCTTTCTGTTAACAAAAAATTAAAGGTGGTAGAGATATATATATTCTTTTGCTTAGAACAAATCTGCATTAAGCATACATGGAACTTAACTGTCACTGTATATCTTTGGGAAGGGAGTGGGATTATGGACGACTTTAATGTTAATGATTGGTCTTCTAAAAAATTACTTTTGTAATCAGGAGAAAAGGTTTTAAAATTTTTTTTAAAAAAGATTTTATTTATTTATTTGACAGAGAGAGACACAGAGAGGGAACACAAGCAGAGGAATGGGAGAGGGAGAAGCAGGCTTCTTGCGGAGCAGGGAGCCTGATGCTGGGCTTGATCCCAGGACCTAAGCCGAAGGCAGACGCTTAACAACTGAGCCACCCAGGCACCCCTGGAAGAAAAAGTTTTAATAAAAATGATTCAAAGTTAAATGTCTTTATCACATTGAAAATTACATTTTTTTGGTAAAAACTTGGAGGAAATACCAGAGTATATCTGTTCCAGTGTTTCAATATAAGCACCTCAATGTGCAGTACTTTCTATTCTCTGTAGCCAGTGATTCCCAAATGTTCCAAACCTGAGAATCAATTGGTCAATAGTTTATTAGACCCTCTTTTACAATTCTGGCTGTGAAGGATCATTGTCAACTTTAAAAATTTTAGGGTTTTATATCCTACCTCTAGATGCTGTAATTCAATTAGTTTAGTGTGGGACCCTTGAATTTATATTTTAATAAGTCTTCCTAGGTGATTCTGACAAAAATAAAACCACAGTTGGGACCATTGCTGTAGCTAATCTTCAACCATTTTATTAGGGTGACTACTAGTTCTAAAACTAGGAAGAATTTCTGTCTGGAATCATTTATATGTAGGATAATCATTCATTCAGAAGTATTTATTATCACTTATGTTTCAGAGGATGCTACTCTAGGTTAGAATAGTGAACAAAAAAAGACAAGTCTTCAAGGAACTTTTATTTCAGAGAATGAACCAGGCAGTAAATAAGTAAAAAAGTAATAATAATAATTTAAGAAATACATAGTATGTTCGATAATGATACATGCTAAGAGTAAAAAATAAAGCAGGAAAAAGAAATCTGAAATGTCAAGTGTGAGTTTGAAATATTAGGTGGGATAGGAATGGAAGACTTCAGGGGCCCCTGGGTGGCTCAGTCGTTAAGCGTCTGCCTTCGGCTCAGGTCATGGTCCCAGGGTCCTGGGATCGAGCCCCACATCCGGCTCCCTCTCTGCGGGAAACCCGCTTCTCCCTCTCCCACTCCCCCTGCTTGTGTTCCCTCTCTCGCTGTGTCTCTGTCAAATAAATGAATAAAATCTTTTTTTTTTTTTTTTAAAAAAAGGGGGAATGGAAGACTTCATTGAGAAGATGACTGATGTCTTTTGAGTACACATGCTAAGGAAGGAAGGGAGTCACCCATGCAAATTTCTGGCCCAGAAAATGCAAAATCCCTGAGTTGGGAATATACTTAGTTTATTTGAAGAACAGCATGGAGCCCTATATAGCTGGTAAAGAGAATGATGAAAAGTGTAGGAGGTGATGAGGTTTAAAAAAAAAAAATGATAAAGGCTAGGTCAAGTGGGACAAAATGAAGACTCTGAATGAGATTGAAGGGTTCAAGCAGAAGAGTAACTTTTCATAGATCAGTGTTTGCTCTGTTGAAAATACATAAGAGTAGAAGCGAGGAGGGTAATCCAGACTGTAATCCAAGCAAGAAATGATGATGACTTGGACCAGGGTAGTGGCAGCTTGTGTGGTGATCAGTGGTCAAGTTCAGATATATATATTTTTTTTAATTTATTTTTAAAGATTTTATTTATTTATTTGACAGAGAGAGAGAGATAGCGAGATCAGGAACACAAGCAGGGGGAGTGGGAGAGGGAGAAGCAGGCTTCCCGCAGAGCAGGGAGCCCGATGTGGGACTCGATCCCAGGACCCTGAGATCATGACCTGAGCTGAGGGCAGACGCTTAACGACTGAGCCACCCAAGCGCCTTCAAGTTCAGATATATTTTGAAGATGGAATTGTCAAGATAAACGCATGCAGTGGATAGAATACATAGTGATGGACAGAATATGGAGTTGTAGGAGAAGGAGGATTCAAAATGACACCTAGATTCTTAGCCTGAGTAATTGTCGTTAACTGAGATAGGAAGAGACTACATAAAGGAATGGTTTGGGATGGAATATCATGACTTCAGTTTTGGTCATTTTAAATGTAGAATTGCTAGGGGTGCCTGGGTGGCTCAGTTGGTTAAGCATCCACTCTTGATTTTGGTTTAGGTCATGATCTCAGGGTTGTGAGACGGAGCCCTGCTTCGGGCTCTGAGCTGGGCGTGTAGCCTGCTTAAGATTCTCTCCCTCACCCCCTTCCTCCCTCTCAAATAAATGAACAAATAAATTATACTTGATATTAGATATCCTAATATCTAATTAGATGTCAGGTAGGCAATTGGATATTGGAGTCTGGAGTTCAGAGTAGTCATCCAGGCTAGATATATAAGTTTGGGAATAATCAGCATGTAGATGGTACTTAAAACCACAAGACTGCATGGGATCACCAAGGGAGTAATTGTAAATAGAGGTCCAAGGAGTAAATTTTAGGGCATCTGACAGAATTTTTTTTTTTAAAGATTTTATTTATTTATTTTGACAGAGAGAGATACCACAAGAGAGGGAAACACAAGCAGAGGGAGTGGGAGAGGGAGAAGCAGGCTTCCTGCTGAGCAGGGAGCCTGATGGCGGGGCTGGATCCCAGGACCCGGGGATCATGACCTGAGCCGAAGGCAGATGCTTAATGACTGAGCCACCCAGGCGCCCCCTGACAGAATTATTTTAAAGAAATTCACACTGTTGATATATTTAGGGCTAAAGGTCTGCAAATTGTCAACTTATTCTCAAATATGTGTTTTTTAAAATGTATATACACGTGTAAATACATAGAGAATGAGGATAAAACAAACAGATGTAGCAAAAGATTAACAATTGGATTGTTACATAAGAGAATGTGGAATAAGGACAGTTTCCTCTAGGAGCAGGACTAGAGGTAGAATATAAGGGCACACACATGTAGATCAGTGGATTGATGCTATGAGAGCTTGTGGAAATTCTCTTGTATTGCTTTGGTTTTCTGTGTTGTAGGAAGCAGGGTTTGTCAGCTGATATTTTAGATCCATTTAATTAGAATATTTCCATATTTATTAAACACCTATGTGTCAGCTATGCACTAGGAATACCAAGATAAGTGACATTATCTTGCACTTGAAGAGTGTATTACAATTTGAGACACACTGCTAATTATAATGCATCACCAAATGCCCTATAAAATGTATCAAGAGACTTCAACATACATGTCTTTTGACTTACTTGTTCCACTTACAGAAATACACAAAATCCATCCTAAAGAAATGACCCACAGTGCACAAAATATTGTGCAAAAAGATGTTTATAGCAGCATTTTCCACTGTAGTATAACATTTGAAAAAAACATATTTTTAACAGTTTGGTCATAAAAAATTATTTTACATGAAGTTTTTAATCATAAGGCTAAATTCTTATGATTTTATATGAAGAGAAAATAGTAGGCTATTAAGTTTTTAAAAACAAAAAAAATTACAGGATGAGCCCAGCCAAGTAAAAAAGCAAATCATTAAATCATTTAAAAAATGTCTTTTTAAAAAATTGTTTAGTTAGGTATAACATATACACAGAAGTGCACAAATTTTAAATGTACTGCAGCTTGATGAACTCTCAAACTAGTCTCACCTGTCTACCTAGCACCCCTGTCAAGAAAAGTTCTTTTCAGAATCTTGTTTGTAGTCTTTATAATATCATTCTTGCAAAAAGAAGAATTTATCTTAAAAATTTTTTTTACAGGCAAGTATCTATTGAGGAAGGAGAAAGGAAAGCCAAAGAGCTGAATGTTATGTTTATTGAAACAAGTGCAAAAGCAGGATACAATGTAAAACAGGTAAGTGATCTTGGAATATGGGTTGAGGTTATCAAATTGAAAAAATGATAATTATGAAATAATTGTGTGAGTATTCTCTGCTGTAAGATTTTCTTCTAGTTGGTAAACAGCAGGCCTCATGATCTAGCAACATATTACACAGTGAAAAAATACAAATGTGGCATAGTTTTTGGAAAAGGAGAAAAGGCTTGACAAACTTCAGATTGTGCACAGGACAACTATTTCATTATGATTGCAAGGTTGTAAACTTAACCTACCCTCACTGCATCCTTACTGCACTGTTTTAAGGTAAATTTTAAAAATTTTTATATTTTTTTAAGAGTTTAATGACAAAAGAAAGCAAGTATTTGCTGTTGGAAATGGTATTTTGCTTGTAGTTGTGAAAGTATATTCTGGTTACTTTATCCTCAATAACCTGCTGTTGTTTTAACAGTGTTTATAACAGGAATGTTTTGGGGAAAGAGGAAAATATGGGAACATCTCACATTATCAAACTTTCTAAAATATGGAGTAGTGGTCCCAGATTTATAGGATTTTCAAACCAATATTTTTTTCACTTCTAGATGATCAATAGAAAGTTAAAATAAAATCATTTAAACTGAGTATGTTGAGCTTTATGAAAAATTCTTCATATTGTTTTCACTTTCTTTCCCATATTTCCTTGCCTTGAAATATATGTAAGTAATTTTGAACTGTCACTAATTCCCTCCCTGCAGTATACTGTTTCATGGCTCTAAGTCTTTGTTCCTGCTGCTGTTCTCTTTGCTTAGAATGCTGTTTCTTCTTTCCTGACTGATACCTATTCATCCTTTCAAGTTTCAGTTTAGATGTCAGTTCTTCAAAGAAATTTTTTTGACATTCTCTACCATACCATACCTGCAGGCTATTTTTTTTTTTTAGCAATAAATGATACTTTTCTGTGTTTTCTCAGATCCCTGACCCTTGTGAAGCCACTGTCCTGGAACTTACCACATTATGTTGGAAATATTTCCCCCATCAAAATTATATATTCCCAGAACCTACCAATGTCTGTGGAATTTAGAAAATGATAAGTAAATGAACTCATAGGAGCCACAGACAATTAAAAAACGAGTAATAGAAATTAGCACAATTACTATTATTTATCACTGTTCTAGGACAAAGCAGTGGGTAGCTTATCTAGCTTTCACCAATAATGACATTTTGATAAGGATTGAATGAGCTAGTTGCTTATATGTCGAAGTATAGCCTTCTCTGAGACATCTTTTGGTCTTGATTAATGTCTAAAGGGATTGCTATGGCCCCCTACGCCTGACTCTGAGTAGTCTCATAGGTTCGGAAGTCTCAAATCATCAGCATACAGTGGTGACTAGTGATAGCTAGTATCTTCATGATATTTAATTGCTTCTAAGTTAACTCTCAGGATGTTGAGAAAATGAGATTGGTCATTCATTTGCTATTTTATAAACACATACAATTTTTTTAACAGCTTTATTGAAGCATAATTTCCATACCACAAAATTCACTTCTTTTAAATGTACAACTCAGGAGTTTTTTAAGTGAATTTAAAGCATTGTGCAACCATTACCACAATCTGATTTTAGAACTTTTCAGCACTAGGCACATAATTTTTTCTAAAAGCTTGACGCATACAGACAGATACAGCTAGTCAGTGATAATGAAGAGAGAATTCTTTTACTAAACAGTCTTACCCTGAATTCAAAACCTATTTGCTATTTTATTATTTTTCTTTATTTAGATGATACGTCTGAACATGTGATTTTGCTAAAGTTCCTGATTCTGTTGGGACTTGATTTTATTATCTTTTAAATATAAATATGATCAAAATTACTGTTTTCAAATTTTGGAAGAGAGCTGCCTTTTAAATTTTTTGTAGCTTCTTTCTTAACTCACAAAAACCATTACTTTGTATTTTGTAGGAAGTACCATAGTATATTAGAATTTTATTTCAATATTTATAGACCTTTGCTTTGTCATCTTACATAATTTAGTTAAGATAAAAATCCTGAGGGCACTGGGTGGTTCAGTCGGTTAAGCATCTGCCTTCAGCTTGATGCCAGATGGTCATGATGCCAGGGTCCTGGGTTCGAGTCCCACATCGGGCTCCCTGCTGAGCAGGGAGTCTCTTTCTCCTTCTCCCTCTGCCCCTCCCCCTTGCTCATGCTCTCTCTCTCTCTTAAAAAAAAAAAAAAATCCTGGAAACACTCCCTCTCCCCCCTATCAATTGAGAGAATGAAACCAGAAAAAGAATTTAAATCTTATGTTAATAAACACATTTATTTATTTATTTATTTATTTTTAAAGATTTTATTTATTTATTTGACAGAGAGAGATACAGCGAGAGAGGGAACACAGGCAGGGGAGTGGGAGAGGGAGAAGCAGGCTTCCCGCCGAGCAGGGAACCCGACGCGGGGCTCGATCCCAGGACCCTGGGATCGTGACCTGAGCCGAAGGCAGATGCTTAACGACTGAGCCACCCAGGCGCCCCTGTTAATAAACACATTTAAATAATAGGTTAAAATCTTCCTCCTTTGTCAGTGATCAATCTGGAATGGAATACATTTCTATCATGTGGGAAACTTACTGACTGATTTTAAATATTAGCTAAGAAATACATCACACTGCTTTTTATGGATTGTCTATTCCTTGAATTTGTTTTTATAAAGGAGTTCAAAAACTAATCAAATAGGGTATTATTTTAAAAATTAATTATTTAAATGACTAGAAATGTTAAGAAAAGGTTTTTTCTTTTAGTTGCACTACAAATCACCCCAGCGTTAAGGGATTAAAAAAAAAAAGAAAGAAACTATTCCCTTTGATATCACTTGATATATTAGGTATATGGAAAAATTCAAATTTTCCTAAATGAAATCTAAATCAAATCTACCAAATATAACCACTGTCCAATTCCTGACTCTGGACAACGCAGCTTGTGTCGTTTGCGTTCAGTGCTTACTCTGCAAATCTAATGTTTATCATGCCATTGGAAACTTTGTCAGTAGGGGGGAAAATTGGTGACAATAGTTTTTTCTAAGACAGATATTTTTGAAACCCATACAGCTTACTTACTGTTGAGATTAGGAATGTATTTTTCCTCCATCCTTTCTTTGGTAGAGAATAGAGTACCTGATATCCAAACAAAGGTAAGAAAGGACAGAGGTTTTTATTTTTTTTTTAAAGATTTTATTTATTTTTTTTGACAGAGAGAGACATAGCGAGAGCAGGAACACAAGCAAGGGGAGTGGGAGAGGGAGAAGCAGGCTTCCCGCAGAGCAGGGAGCCCGATGTGGGACTTGATCCCAGGACGCTGGGATCATGACCTGAGCCGAAGGCAGACGCTTAACGACTGAGCCACCCAGGCACCCTGACAGAGGTTTTTAGAATGGCAGATTGTCCCCAGGAAAATCTCTTTGGATTAGAGAATTGCTTAATGATTTTAAACTTTAATGTGCATAATAGTCACCTAGAAGCTTACGTAAAATAACAGGTTCCTGGGGCACAACTTCTGGATACTGATTCATTAAGTCTAGGGTAGTACCCTAAAAATCTACATTTTTAGCAAGAATCTCAGGGGATTTTTCATGCAAGCTATACTATGTAAAAAGACCTATTAAGCCATGGAGATAATTGAGCAAGTATGTCAAATCTATTCAGTTTGATAATTGTTCGGACAACTATTAATTCTCTAATCCCTGCTAGATACAGAAGACAGACTTCCTACATTTAAGAGGCTCAGTCTTATGTAGAAGCCAAATTCGTACATGAGGAATTAAATATTATGTATTCTGTTGCCAATATGTGTCTTCACAGGGCGCGCCTGGTCGTTCAGTCGGTTGGGCATCTTCCTTTGGCTCCTGTCATGATCCTGGGGTCTTGGGAGTGAGCCCCGGGTCGGGCTCCCTGCTCAGCAGGAAGTCTTCTCCCTCTCCCTCTGCTGCTCCCCCTGCTTGTGCTCTCTCTCTCTCTCTGTGAAACAAATAAATAAAATCTTTTTTTTTTTTTTTTTTAAGATACCTACTCTTGTTGATTCTGCTCTATTAGGCCCTGTTGTCTATTGCCTTGCCTGCTACCATAGTTTATTAACCGATAATCTGCCTTAAATCTTGCCCCACTTTAGGGCGCCTGGGTGGCTCAG